GTGTCGGGCCGGCAACGGTGATGAGCGGGCAGGGGACGGCGAGTGGTGAGAGGGAATGTGGTGGCGAGTGCACCGCGGTTTTGGAGGCCGCGAAGACGGGATGCAAGCAACAGCGCCCTGAACGCTGCGTGCGTTGCAGGATGCGGGACCGATCACGGCCGCCGCTTTCCGAGGCGCGCCCGGCGCGCGCGCGGCGGGCGCGCCCCGAGTCAGCACGGCTCTCTGCCGCCACCCGCGCTGCGCACCAAGACGGCGTCGGTGGTGACGTCACCCTTGAGGGGCGCAGCCACACGGTCCTCGCCTGCAGCAGTGTGCGGGTCCGGCGGGGGTTGGGGAGCGTGCTCATGACAGGACGCTTGGGGTTGACCGGGGTTGACCAGGGCTCCGAAAAACACCACCCGCGACGTGAGAGGACTGCGCCGCGGCTCTGTTGAGCGCCCTCCTCAACAGTATCGAATTTTCAAGAGCAGCACACTCGGTGTTCATGCACGCCACACGCTCCAACCGCACACGCGTGGCGCCCCTGGCGGGGTTGGTGCTGGCTCCCAGGCTTCAGGAACGCGCCCAGGGAGGGGCAGCCGCTGTGCGTCCCGCCCACCCTCGTGGTTGACCACCGCCGCGACGCCGGGCGCGGTCAGGCCGGCCGCCTTGGCCACGGCGGAGTCGGTGGTCTCGAAGGCCGGGACGTCCTCGGTCTTCTGGGCCGCCTTGACAAAGGCGTCGTAGGCGTCACCCTGTGTGCGTGTGTGTGTGTGTATGTGCGCGTGTGTGTGTGTGTGTGGGACGGGGAGGGTGCAGGCACTGCGTGTTGCGAGGTTGCCGTGCAGAAGTCCGTACGCTTGCTCTGGCATGTGTATTCATGCACATGCACCATATGGAAAGTATGGTACTAAGTCGCAACCCCACCTTGCGCCCCCTCCGCATGGGCATGTGTGGTTCTGTCTCCTTCAAGGTTTCAACAACACAAGGGCACGCACACACAAGCCGCAAGACAACTCACAGATGCATTCACTCACAGGCCAATGCACGCCACACACATTTGTGGCAGCAGATCCAATTGTGGGCTCAGCGAGATCCTTCTCACCCCAACCCATGCACGCACACTTACACACACGTACACCCATTCACATGCACACGCACACATACACACACATGCATGCATACATACACACACATGCATACATACACACACACACACAGTCATCCACCCCCCCCCCACCCCCCACCTCACCTTGAGCTCCTTGAAGTACCCCACAAACAGCACAGGGTTGGCCTTCTCAGCCTCCTCCAGGGCCTTCTTGTCGGCCAGCTTGGTGGCGGGGGGGCCGGTCTTCTTCTTCACCCACTGCACGATGCCGTCGCTGGGGGGGAGGGGGGTGTACGCGTGTGCGAGGAGTAGGGGTGCGTGTTAATGTATGGGCGTGTGTGAATTAGTGGGTGTGTAGGGGCGTGTGCCTTACTACGAGTGTGCGTGTGGCGGAGTGCGTGCTTGTCTGCGCCAGCATGTGCATCCAACAGGGGTTGCATCCGGGACACTGCAGGATGGGGGGCGCGCAGCCGCAGGGGGAAGGGAGCGGCACGTGCGGCGCTGCGACCCGCAATGGCGCCGCTGGCCGCCACGGGGCGGCTGGACGGGAGCCCCGCGCCCCATTGCGACGGCGCTGCAACTGTGCCTGCGTCTCGCGGCCCCCTGAGGTGCCCTCAGCGCTGGTGCATCAGCAGATACGCTTCCGCCACCGCCCCCCCGCCCCCCCCGCTGCGCTCGTGCAGAGCAGACCCCACTCGCAGTCAGCACAGGCAGCCACGCGTCGTGGCTTAAGAACTGCAACAGACGCTGCAGCTGCGAGCTGCTGTGGTGTTCAAAGGGCCGTCAACATCAACCACACACTTGCTCAACAACACCCAACCGACGCACCACCCGTCCACACAAGACCAGCGCTCCTCGAGTCAACACGCCGCCGACCACAATACTCCCGGGCAGCGGGCACTGGAGCCACACGCAACGAACCAACCAGCAACGCCGTCAGGAGTCCGGTAATCAACCCAACACCCACACCAACAGCAAAATTACCGCCCCACAAGGCGGGTCCCGGGGGCTCACGCGTCGCGCGGGCCGTTGTAGTCCTGCGCCTCCTGGCCGTCCACAAACCACTTAATGGTGGGGTAGCCGCCCACGTTGAACTGCTGGCCCAGATCGGTCTCGACGGTGGCATCAACCTTCTCTCGCGTTGGGTGGGATGGGATGTGGGCGAATCAGAGGGTCAGCTCACAGGGGCACGGGCTGCGCCGCGTGGCCTCCAGCCGCCGCCAGGGCGGTGGATTGGGCCGCGGCTGCGCACGCCCAGCCTGGTGCCGGGCGGGGGGACGGGGGTCGCCGGCTGCCGCGGGCCGCTGCATGCGCCAGCCGCATGCGACCCATAGTCCCCCACATGAGCCGTGCATGCATGCAGGGTGCGGTGCGATGCGGATGATCCGAGGTGCTGCAGCGGCTGCTGCAATCACTGAAGAGGGGCGCTGCTGGGACCCAAGCCATCGCAAACGAAGCGCGCCTTGCCGATGATTATGGAGGCATCATGCTCCTTCAGAGTCGCCGCCGCCTTGGAGTACTCCGGCTCGAGGCGCTACGTGCAATGTGTTGAGGGCGCGGCGGGGCGTGGTGAGGGGTTGGGAGGGGCGTCACTGCTGGGCGCAGGTGGGACAGGCGGTAGAGTGCGTTGCAGGTAGACTGATAGACGGCCCGGGGCTGCACAGCGCAGCGACCTCGCCTCAACTTACCTTGCAGTGGCCGCACCAGGGCGCATAGAACTCTACCTATCAGGGTGGATGGAGGATTGTCGTACATCGAATGGGGGCGGCAGGATTGTCACCGTGAGCATCAGAGTCACAGGGCCCCACGCAGGGCGGCAGGGGGCGGCTGCCACGCTTGTACAGTGGTGCAGTGCCACACAAGTTTCCGTGTGCGTAGCGCTATCACGCTCTATGATCAGCATGGCCTGGAACAGGCCACGCGTGATGTGAGGCGCCTTCTACCGTACGAGACACCTACCAGAGCGAACTTTGAGCCCTTGACCTTCTCCTCAAAGTTGTCCTTGGTGAGAACCAAGGCAGCATCCTCCTCCTTCTTCTCTTCCTCCTCAGCGGCGATCAGAGGCGCGGAGAGGAGCACCAGCCCAAGCATCATCAGTGGCGCCCACTGAAGCCGCGCCATGATGATGTGCTGTTCTGAGTCGCAAACAACAGAGTCCAAAGCGGTGATCAACCCACGCGGGATCTGCCCTCTGTTGCTGAAGAGAAGGGTGATCTGGTGCCAACGACAGTAGATCTACGCGTGCAGAAGGCACGGTACGCAGATGGGTGCCTGGGAAAATGCGGCCGTGCTTTGTAGTCACTGTGGCACACCGCTGGCAGGGATACCCTGACAGCAGTTGACTAACCGAGCTTGTGTGCTGGCACACCACCTGCACACCACGGGCACCCTGTATCCCATTGACCCACAAGCAAGCCTGAACGCTTTCGCCTTTTAATGTGGGCATGAAAAGCAGTTGCACAGCTCATACAAAGAAGGTGTGCAGCCATGAACGGGCTGGAGGTTCCTAGCAGCGCCCGTGCAGCCCATTTTGTTTGCAAGGAGCGCACATGTGCACATCTCTATTGTGAGGCACTGCGTGTTGATGAAGGGCTCAAAATGAACTGCTTGGTGGTGCTTGCCATGTGATTTCAAGAGTGCCTAGAGAGAATGCCCGCGCAAGCGCGCATGGAGGATGACACTGCCTCTCACACTCTTTTTGGCAACTTCGCCGCGACAGCAGCAACAGCAGACCGGCCGCCAGGCTAGCCCCCAACAGCGGCCTCCACAGCAGCCAGGGCGCGGCACGCCTCGGCAAACTTGGCGTTGAGCGACTCGAAGCGCAGTATGGCCGCGCTCGTGCGGCTGTGTGGCTCTGCAAAGCGGGCGCGCCTGCTGCTCATGGAGTGTAGAACGAGCCGCAGCACCAGGTTGGCAACGATAGACGTGCTAGATTACACCATAGCTCTGTTCTGGAAGTGAGCAGTGTATACTGTACTTTCTTGCTGCCGCCTGTCTTGTGTTGAGAATCTGTGCGTGTGTGGGTGTAGAAGTGCTCCAGTACGGTACTGGACCCTTTGTCAAGCCCCAGGCAGCCTAAAGTTTAGCCATGCGCTCAATGTGCCTGCCGTGGACACTTTTGTGGCACGGGATGTTGAGCGCTGCGTTGCGCTCCCCCGCGTCTGGGACGTCAACGTGCTGCTCTTGGCGCGCATGCTATCAGAAGTCCGCCTCCGTTGGCGTCCCAGGTCATGGCGATGGGGCTTGTATGAAGTAAGATTGCAACATTTCCCCCAATTCAGTCGACGTCAACACATTCATCCCAGTAAGCTTGGTCCTTGGGCGCATGCCTCAAGCAGCTCTGTTAAGTCGCCTCACAACTCTTAAAACCAGCGCGCGCACATGGGCTGTCTTCAGTTCACGCCCACCACCATCGTAGTGCCCAGAACAACATCCGAATTTGGAGGGACGCCAATGCACGCGCTCCCCGCACCAGCACATCCAGTGAGCGCGGTCAACCCATGGTCCTGCCAGCCTGACTGAGCAACACGAATGCCCCTGGAAAGTGGAGGACACTAGCTGATGTGGTCAAAAAGCGTGAGCCGATAAACCGCATGCTCTGAGCTTGGCCCTGGTAGACCTGCCTGCACCCTGTTGGCTGCCAGCCAAGCGCAGGTCACTGCGGTACCATTCTCGTGCATGCCTGCGCCGCTGCTTCATCACTGCGGTCTTTCCTAACATCTGACAGTCGGATGTGCATCAGGCTACGGTGCACGGCATACTACCTGTCCCGTGAAGCTCACGCTGCGATAGTGTGCGGGACTGATCGGCTTGATCGGTGCCGTGGTGATCCACAAGAACACTCAAACTTGATGTCTAAAGCTTGAAGTAGCAGCGGGTGGCAAGAGCCTCGAAACACTTGCGCCGTTGCTTACTGCGCTTCGCCGCTGGCGGCGTGCCTCAGCAGCGGCAGCACCCAGCAGCCCGCAATCAAGCGCACCCTCGGCCCGCACACCGCCGCCAGCCAACTCGCGCGGCCCGCGCCCCGCGTGGCGGGCAGCGGCTCGCCATGGCGGCGGCGGACGCGGAGTCGCCGCCGGACGCGCCAGTGGTCGAGTGCTGGGCATGCAGCGTGCTGGTTGCGGTGCCAGAAGTGGGCGGCGCCCCAGCACCCATGTTCCGGGTGAGAGCCGCGGCAGCCAGCGCCTGCAGCCGCGCGTCGCCGCATCGCACCGCATGGCGGGGCGAGGGCGGCCGCTGCTGCGAGGGACAGGGTTGGGGGTTTCGCGCGGCAGGGGGCGTGTGCAGTGGGGTAATCCAGAGCCTGCATGCGTTAACGGCACGCATGCATGGCTGAGGAATGGTGCGCAGCAACTGCCGCGCGCCTAGCTGCTGGCTCGCCCCTATCCCCCATCGCCCGGCAGTGCGGATGGTGCGGGGCCATTAACGACCACACGCCGCGCCCCGCCAGCGGGGGCGGCGCCGCCGCCGCGCGGCGCACCCCTGAGCGCGGCGCCCGCGGCCGCGCACGGCGGCTGCTGCGGCTGCTGGGCCCGCCGCTGCGGTGGCTGGTGGTGGCCTTTGTGGTGGTGCTCATCGCGGCGGTCTCGGCCGTTGGCCTGTGCGTCGTGCTGCCGCGCGCCTTTCCCAATCCGGTGGTCTACCTGCTGCACGCAGCCTTCGCGACGCTCCTGCTGATGGCCACGGTGCGGCACATGGTGGCACCGATCGTCTGCCATTGTTAATGACTGTAGTGTCTGTTTTGAGTGAAGTTGGGAAAAGAGAAGGTGCCAGAAGACGATCCACGCGTGGCATGCGGCTCGCGGCGGCAGGGTCGCCCTGCGCGGGGCCCGCGCAAGCGTGCGATGGTGCAGGGGGCAGCCCGCAGGGCGGGGCGCGTGCATGTGCTTTGTCCGTGGCACGCAGCCGTTCACGGGTGCGAATATCTTGGCATCATCACACGTCCTGCCTGGGTTAGTTTCAACAAAAGCAGCCCCCCTTCGACCCCTGAGACGCGCCGCCGCCCACAGCCACTCCCGAATGCAAGCCGCCGTTGCATCCGCAGCTGCACGTTTTGGCGCCGCTCCCCCTCCATCACCGCCAACGCCCCCCCCCCTGCGGGCCGCCTCCCCCTGCCCCGCCAGTCTCTGCACTTCATCACGGCCTGCTGCCACTCCCCCGGCCGCGTCCACGAGTGCGTGGCGCTGCCCGCGCGCGCGGCGGCGGGCCACTACCCGGAGGGCGCCTTCGAGGGGTGGGCCTTCTGCGCGCACCCCAGCTGCAACGCGCCCAAGCCGCCGGGGACGCACCACTGCAGCACGGTGGGGGCTGCGCTGCTGCCAGGAGGGCGGCGTTTTTTGGGGGGGGCGCGGGGGACGTCCGGGTTGCTGCATCGTGCGCGAAGGGCCGACGTTCGCCCTGCGTTTGTGCGGCGGGGCCCCGCCCCATTCCGTCCGCCGAGCGCCGCGGATGGCTGAAGATTCGCACCATCTCGTCCCGTTATTGTTTGCGCCACAGTGCGGCTTCTGTGTCGTGGAGCTGGATCATCACGTGAGTGGGGGTTGGTGGGGCCGCTGCGGGGGCATCAGTCAAGATCACGGCAGCGGATGGTGGGGTTGCTGCAAGAGGACCAGTCAAGATCATGCAAGAGGGTAGCCTGGCGCACGCTCGGCGATAAGCGGCCCCCCGCAGCCCAGGGGCACCCCTGGCTTTTCCATTCCTTGTTGGAGAGGCCTGGGCCCCCTCTTTAACCCCCCCCCCTGCTGCACTTCTAATCTGCAATAAGGCCCGTTCACGCGCCGCCCAACCCCGCGCCCCTCCCTTTCCCGCACGGGCGCGGCGCATGCTACTGCTCGCCGCAGTGCCCTTTCATCAATAACGTGAGCGCCTGCGAGCTGCAGCACCTCAGGCTGCCTGCCTTGCCCTGACGGCCCGCATGCCTCCACACGGTGCTTTCTCCTGAGCCCTAATCAAGGCCCAGCCCCAAATCTGATTTCACGTGTTTGGCATCGCTAGCCTTGACCGCCCATGCTGCCCCACTCAGCACCACTCGTCCATTTGCCTTGCCATCCGCCACACCACCCAGCACAACGCAACACAACCCAAAATTACTCAAAACCATCCAAAACCGCCCTAAACCGCCCAAAACCGCCATAAACCACGCTACACCACCCCAGTGCGTCGGCCGCGCCAACATGCGCGCCTTCCTGCTGTTCCTCGCCTGCATCTGCCTGGCCTGCGCCTACGCCCTGGTGATCTGCTCATACCTGATCTGGTCAAACTGGGCGCTCGTCACTGCTGGCCTCCGCGCCGCGACCTGGGGCTCTTCGGACGCCGGCCGGGCAGGGGCCGCGGGCGAGGTGGGCGGGGGCTGGACGGCCTGGGTGATGAGGATGAGCGTCACTTCGACGATGGTGGTGGCTGTGTCACCCTGGTGGCTGCTGGCCACCTATTACTTGCTAGCCGTCTGCGGGGCCGCGCTGATGTGCGTGGGCGTGCTGCTGGTGACTCAGCTACGGTACATGGCGACGGGGATGACTTACATCGACTACTTAAAAGCGCAGCAGCAGCTGCAGGGGACGTCATCAGTCAGTGGTGACCACCAAAACGGCGGCGGCGACGGTTACGGCGGCGGCGGCACGGCCGGCGGGGCCGATGGCGGCAGCATGCAGCAGCAGCCGGTGCTGCTGCGTGGCCCGGGGCTCTGGGTGCGCCTTCGGGAGGTCCTGGGCGGCGGCAGCAGCAGCGGCGGCGGCGCGCTTTCATGGCTCGTGCCGCGGTGGGACCCGCCGGAGGGCGTGCTGCTGGGGGCGCCGGCAGATGAGAAGAAGGCCAGCTGAAACGACGCTGGGCTGCGCTGAGTTGTATATGTGTTGTGAGTATCTTTGCTCTGTCGTTTATTTGGTATGTGCGGGCGAGGACCGCCGTCATTTAGCTGGCCGCTGCAGTTATTGTTGTGCAGGAATGCTCGTTGCTAGACGAATGCTCCTTGTGGCTTGGAGGGTGGAGTCGCCTGAGCTCCTGCATACAGAACAAATCCACACAGTCGCTTGCGTGCAATCTCCAACCCGCCGCCGGCGGTGCAGAGCGAGCCAGCCAAAGGCTGCAATGCAGCTGAGAAAAGGGACGGTCGACGACGCAGCAGCTGCTGCCAACCCGCTTCCGACACGGCATGACAGACATTAACAATCTCGCGTTTGAATCGCGTGCAACTCAAGGTCAGCTAAAATCCTGCAAGAGCAAGAAACGAGCTGCGATGTGAGGTTGAGACGGGTGTCACACATTCACGAACACACAATGCGTAGCATCTCACCTGCACACAATTGCACATACGGATTGTCAGCAGGACGACAAGGCCGAAGCAAACAAGCAATGCAGCATGGTATGATGGGCGTAATCTTGTGCAGATGCAAACCCAACTTCGATATTCTGGCTATCATGCGCCCCCAGCCCTGGCGGGGTCGTACGCAGCGACGCGCCCCTCTCTCAAAACGCCCACGCCTTGCGCCTCGGGCCATCTCAAACCCTCACATGCATGCAACACATCTTGCCCCACTCGCAAAGCCGCGTCTCTTTTGAAGCAACGAAAGCACGTGAAATCCTGCGCGAGGCCGGGCACAGTAGGCACAATGCGCAAGAAGAAACGCGTGCACACGCGTGTGTCACCGCTCCGCGGGCCCCAGCAGCCGCCCCATCTCCTCTCTGTTGTCCTCCATCCGCTGCAGCGCGCGCGCCACCTGCGCCTCAGACAGCAGCGCGTTTCCGGCAGAGATCAGCGCCCCCTCGAGATCGAATTCGGAGATCAGGGCCCGAGAGAACGCCTCCTCGTCTTCCGTCGCAGACTGCTGCTGCTGCTGTTGGTGCTGCTGCTGCTGCTGCTGCTGCTGCTGCTGCTGCTGCTGCTGCTGCTGCTGCTGCTGCTGCTGTGGCCACGCGGCAGGCGGCGCCAGCAGGGCGCTGGCCCCCGGCGCGCCGCAGAGCCAGGGAAGCGGCCGCCGCCGCTTGGCGGCGCGTGTGATGTCACACAGCATGTCGTCCACGAGGGCCACCAGCGCGCGCCGCCTCTCGCCCTCGGCGCCCGGCGCGGCGGAGAGCGCGAGCTCGCAGCGCGTCAGGCGCCGCCGCAGCGCCTTGGGGCCGCCGCCGGCGAAGGCGGCGGCAGCGCTGCCGGGGGGCGTGCCGGCGCCGGTGGCGGCACCCGCGAGGGCGGCCGGCGGCTGGCTTCTTATGTCAGCGCCTGCTGTGATTGCTGGGCGCTGCGGGGCCGCCGGTGGCAGTGGGGCCGCCGGCAGCGCGCCCTCCTGCTGGGACACACGCGCGGCACTCGTTTGGCGGCCGTCTGATGCAGTGGCGCCTGCCTGCAGCACCGGGCCCGCGGGCGCCCGAGCCTCCCCCTTGCCTGCGGGTAATTGTGGCTGCAG